GTCTGGGCATCTCCAGCTGAATGAACTTGGAAACCCGCAGAACCCCCTGCCAGGCACTCTCGTCCCACTCTCTGTCACTCGCGCCTTGCGCGGCTAAGTGTTTCAGAAAAGGGATGTGCTCGATCGCCTTACTGCGCGGTGAAGTTGTTGAATTCCCTCATGAATTGCAAAAAAATGCGCTGAACAGGATGCGGGATGCGTGTTTATGAAACCAAAATGGTCACATGCCATGCTTGTCTTGGCTATCCAAGACTGACATGCGATTGGCAGGTGGCTCATACCAACAATCTCCAAACCATCTCCAAACCACGGATCATCCGGTCATCCGTGAGCCCCTTGCAGCACGGATGAACAAAAATACATATAAAGCCAGTACGGTGGCCACGTTTCCGCGAGAACGACATGCAGCTGACTGGCCCAGCGGTGTGGCTGCTGCATCTCCTCAAGCCTTGGACCACTTGGAGCCCTAAAAAATCTAAAAAGGAAGAACGTCAATGACATCCGATGACACCTGTGAGTACTCCTCACACGAGGTCACACCACAGTGCCACGGTGAACAAAAAGTTGGATGAAACAAGCCTGCTCAAGTCCTGCTCCAGGACCCACTGTCGGGGTGGTGAATGGACACCTCTTTTCGGGGCTATCACATAGAACACCCTTATAGGGGGTCCTGGCTTATGGCGGACGTCCGCTTCCAGCCGATGTGGCTCGCCCACCGCCACATGATGTGGGCGCCCACGCGTTCACCACTTGGACATATCATAGCATCATATATTTTACAGTGTGTCACACACACACAAGTTACGGTTAAGCAGGGCACTCGTAATTGTAGGTCAACCTCCGGGATGTGCATCCAAATATCCAACCCAAATGATTTGGAAAAACCTCACGTCCTTGGTCCATACTCAGTGTGGTCCCACCTCTTTCCTCTTCGTTTTCCGCCCGCCCAGGCGCTTCAGATCTGCGGCGCTGCCCCAGCCGATGGGCGCCAAGGCCCGCCACACCTCCCCGAGCCCCTGGAGTTGATCGTCGCCCGATGGGCGCACGTAGTGCCGCACCTGGAAGGCGTCCGTGTAGACGGGTCGGCAGCCTGCCAAGGCCGTAAGGGCCGCTGAACGTGTGCGGCGCGCGCTAGCCAGGCAGGCGGGGCGCCTCAAAAACCGGGCTTCTTAGGAGTTGTTCAATGGATTTCAAGGAACAAAGGGTGGCTTGGCATAGTGGGTTTTGGTCCAGGTGGGAATCAATGACCGGTGGTCAAGCTCTTTTCAACGAGAAATGGCTTAGCTGCATGAATTGTCGTGACCCCAAACTGGTCCAATCGGTGCCAATGATTAGTTATAAATTCAACTTGATTTACATATGTTTGTCCATATGTAGGCCCCGGACCTACACAACTCATGTGTATAGGAGTCCCTATGTCGCTGACCGTGGTATAGGATAGGTCGCCCCTGAGTATGCACAAACCCTTCAAAACATTGACAAAAAAGACCGTGGTCAAGTCTGGCATCTGCCTCAGGATCCCTCAATTCGACTAGATATGTCACTATGACACTCACTATGAGTTATCTAGCTTGAGCCATCTCAGCCTTGCACAGCTTCCAGGCGCCTTCCCAAAGGAATCCCGCATCTTCCACTCCAACCAGCTCTTCAGACTCGATGGGTAGCACGGCGGTCCCAGCTCCTCAGCCAGGATGGGGAGGAGCTCTCTTGAGAGTTGCCCTTTTTCAACGGCAAAACGAAAGAGGGCATCGGAAAACCAGGACTCTCTTGAGTCTTCGTAGATTGTGTGGCCAAATAGGGTGGGGTGGACGACTATCCTGGTTACACATCCACAGCTGCATATGCACATGCAACAACGATTAATATTATATATATTGTTTATTTTAAACGCCTCTACATGCAATTCTGCATCACTACCAGGAGTCACAAAGGGGTGCCTATTGCAGGAATAAGGGCGCCCTTTATCCCCTCACTTAAGTAATAAACACAACCCTTTAAACTTTAAACATGAATAGGTACCTGTATATTCTGTATATGCTTCCTGTACGCCGCCCCAAACTTCGTTGTCCCAGTGTCTCGCAGGGTGCTCGCACCAAAAGAGCTGATCCTCGAAGTAGTCGCCCAAGAAGCTCCCCAGGCGCCCATCGGAATTGGAGTAGATCAAGAACTCCTTAGCAGTCTGGACTGCTTCAGGAGATGAGATCTATAGATATCTCATATCTACACTCTGACACAGTAACATGCAGTGGATGGCATGGTCCCTTGGAAGACTGCTATTCCTTTACGAACCACGGGGTGAATGTTCCACTTCCATGTTTTCCAGGAGACCGTTGTGTTGTGAGATCCGTGACGATCCGTGAGTGTCATGGCGGGACGCCGAAGTGTCATGGCGCCGGACGCCAGAGTAGCGATCGCACGCTACGACCGGGGCGCTCCTGGCCGGACGCTACTAGGGACTGGAGATGTTGGAGGGACTTGGAATGGAAGCCACGGGGATCGGCACCTTCAGATCAAATGGTCGCTTTGCCGAGCTTGGCAAAGCATTCAGGTGGCACCCTGTAGAAGTCATGCATGTGACCTTCACAAACAAAAACCGAAGAGTCTACCAGAATCAGGGCTGGTTCGTTGGTGGAACGGCCGTATGCCCGTGTCACGTGGGGAAGTGTCACTCCCTGCGACCTAGAACCAGATCCATAGGAGTCAAGTCAAGAACCAAAAACACCTCTCAGATCTACCCCGCTGCTCTGAACCCAAACCCTGGTCTCCAAGGCAAGGGCCCCCGCAGAGTTCTACAGTGAATCGGGTGCAAACGCCGCAAGCCATGTGATTCTGCACCCCACGAACATGTCTTGCCAGAAAAACGGGGCCGGTCTCGACTCGCGCCAAGACTCTGTGGCGAAATTCACCAACGAGAAGCTTCCCTTGTCATCCCTGGGCAGAACTCTCCACCAATGTTCCTCGAAGTCTCCATGATAACAACCCAGCAGCCCCTCCGGTGTCACGAAAATGGATCGATCCGAGGCCAGATGGTACAGCTTCACAAAGCCAGTAAAGACATCCATCCCCGGCACGAAGACAAATAAGTGGAACTCTGTGGGCACCTCGTCATGTATCACATGCCCATCATGCGTGGCTCCCAAGTACCTCCCGCTGTGATAGCCTTTCACATAGAAGGCGTCCCGGAACTGATGAAGCAAGGCGTCCCGCTTTGCAGAAGTGGCCGTGCACGGAATTCGTCTCGCCTTTGGGCTTTGAATTCGCTGAGATGCCAAGATCAAGGACCCCAGCAGTGACGTCCCGAGCAAAGTCCTTGTGACACTCAGCGAGTCGCTCCTGAAGTGCATGAAAAAACCGGGCGCGTGTCCTGCAGCAGGACAGATCCCGGGAAGGCCGGGAAGCGGAGCTTGCACAGCACATGGCGTCTGCATCACAGTGTAACTTGCTGATGTGGCTTCATGATCTGGTCCATTTTGATCAGTTTATGAGCCCTAAGGCAAATAAAGTTTACCCAAGGTGGCAGATAATGCTATCTGGCAACGTCTTTATCAATCAGTTTTCATGACCCCGCCCCAAAAGGCCCCGCAAGGCATCTAAGACGTGCAACTGTTTCACACCGTGGGCTGTTCGGCCTCGAGGCCTCGCCACGCACATGTCAGAACTCATGGCTGCTTGAAGGTCTTTGGGAACATTCCCAGGCTGCACTGATGATGTGGAAGAGGTTCACATGTGTGTGTGCGGGTTGATTGACTTCCACACGCCCCGTGATGGGTCGTACAGGTTGACCCTTCGGGCCCCCTTGGCTCCTTTATTTTTGCGTTGATTTCAGGTCGTGTAGGATGGCTGTCCTTAACCTTTTGTCGACATATGTTGGGCATAGGCCACTCATGGCTTCGCATCCTGCCCTTCTTTACATTGATGTCTAACGCCTGCATTCTGCGCTGCAACCACCATGCGTCGCCTTCCTAACTCTCTCTCTCTCTCTCTGTGTCTCCAAGAAAAAGCGCGGCGCATTGGCCCTGACCAAACACAGGCAAAAGGAGGGATGAAACCAATTCCATCCATAACCATATAATAGTGCAGAATGCGGACCGGACATCCCTTTATATAATATATATATATAAACTCCAAACGCGCTTGACTGGTCCAAACACGGCAAAGCGTGTTCTTCAGTCATTCATGACTAATGTGTTTTCGTTGCGGGGCCAAGTTTGCAAATGGTGAAATCCTTGACCCCTGAGCAATTCCTGGATTTCAACGACCAACTGTTTCAGGAAGCCTTCCACTTTTCCAGGGAGCAACCTCGATGGTTCCTGGCTTTGTGATGGCACCAAGACACGAAATCCACAATGAACATGATCCTTTATGTCCAAAACACCTATCACAAAAATCAATCTGATCCCCAAGATGAGTGTGTAGCTTGAGGAATGCCCCCCCCAAACGTCCCACGAAACACTCCTCCTTAATTTTTGCACTGCGCGCGAAAGCGCGGAGCGTCTCCTGACAGGCACAAAACTGTAACAAGAACTTTGTTACATGATATGTTTAAAAGTGGTTTCATCTATCCAGCTTAGGGATCAAACACAATCACAAGCAAAATCCCAAGTCTTCTGCTGAACATGTCGGGGGTCCTCCTTGAAGGTCTTCAAACCTTGGGCTCTCAGTGCTCGGTTGAGCCCCGGCAGTGCACGCTGCAGCTGCGGCACGCTGGTCACGTTCAACACCTTCAGCTTCGACAGCGCAGCAGCTCGAGCATTGGTGCTCCAGTGAGGCTGGCTCGTAGCTAGAAAGTCTGCCAAGGACGGGGCCCCGAGCGACCTTGGCATGCAAAACATGTTCCAGAAAGACAAACATGCCTAGCTTGAAACCCTGTACTGACCCCTGTTTTGTCCTCAAATGCATCTGCAGTTATTTAAAACAACAAAACATAAACAACCGTTGATTTGGATCCTGTAGGATTAATGATTTGCCATTTCGATTTACCTTCTCCCTACATTCTTTTGAGATGATTCTACTCTCGGATCCTCCCTACGCCAGCCCCATTCAACTATATATTTAAACGTTTAAACCGACCTGTTCAAACCTAAGCCACCAACAAACGCTTGCTTCTTTCTGGTCTTTCTTCTTTCCAGGGCCCAACTCACCGCCCGAACGAACCCACGGCCCCCCAGGGCTCCACTGACGCCCAAGGGCTCCACCAATTGCTCCACGTCCACCGCGTCGTCCCATGGCGCTTCCACCAGCGCCGCCCAGGCGGCGCTGCGCACCGCGGCGTCGCCGTCGCCCAGCGCGGCGTGGAGCGCGGCGCTGCGGCCGGGCAGGCGCCGGAGGGCGCGGAGCGCGGAGGTGCGAACCTGTGAGGCGAAAGGGAATGGAAAGGCCTTGAGATAGATATGGAGAGAGCTGGGAAGGGTGTTTTTGTTTTGTAACTTGTTACATAACTTAATGTTAAATAGGATTTGCAAGGTAGGTATGGCATGGTATGGCCAAGAAAAGCCAAACAGGGGGTGGAATCCTGCTGCGGTAGTCTCACAAAATATGGTCCAGTTCTCCAAATCGAACAGCTTCAAGATTGAGCTCCGTGCGCCAGGACACGTCTGACAGTGACATATCCCACCACAAACCCTGCTTCCATCTGCTTCCATGTCAGCACTGTACGTGAAAAGAACGAGATGAACAAGTCACACACCAAACAATATACAGAAGCCCTGACATGACATGGTGAAGCACTGATTCCGCGAGAAAAACAAACACCAAAACTCACCTGTGCCGACTCGTCCTCCATGAAGTCCATGGCCACCTCCAAGATCCCTGGCAGCTCCACCGGCAAAAGCTCCAAGAGCTCCAGCGCGTGGCACTTTTGCGCAGACCCCGCAGCCGGGAGCAACGGTCCGGTGCGGATCGCATCCTTGGGGGCAAGTGGTGGTGCTGAACCCGGCGAGTGGATGAAGACGGTTCCGCAGTCTTGACGTTGGCCGAAATGGTTCATGGCCGAAGGGAAGAACACATGCTCCAAACGGAAAGTCTATGAAACCCACTCCATATCGTGGACGTGGATGGCATTTGGATGGCATTGTCCCTTGGAAGGCAACAGTAACGTCTTGCAGAGGTGGAGATTCATCATGGATCATCATGGCATATCAGGCATAGCGGCATATCATGGCCATACCTTGAATCTGGTCTATGAATGGTTGTACTGAGCTCTGCCCTCTCTCTGAGCGTTGTCCATGAACGGGAAAACCCACACCTGACGCCTATTCCATGTCCGTTTGTGTTGTTGACACGGCCCGTGGTGCTGCATGGGAGACGTCCCATGGGGTTCTCGACAATTCGGTGTTCAGTCTGGTTCAGTAAGCGAGTCTCGAGGATGATGTCCGGCTGCAGGTGCCCCACATGCGCCTTCAGCTGCTGGCGCACCCGTGGACAAGGATCCCACACACATCGTGCCAAGCCTCACTGGTGTGAGTGTCAACCTGCTTTGCTTTGCAAATCCTTGGAGGTTGTAAACTTGGACACTGCATGACCAGTTTGCCCCCCAAAACAGCCAGTTCTTGACATCAAATACAGTTCGCTCACAGCAATGCCATGGTTTCCATTTCTCATTTCTCCATCTGTCATCAAATGAGCCCCCACCCTTCAGGGCTTCGTTTTGCTGAGTTGACAGGCACCAATAACAAGCGCGTTTACAACGGACGAGTTGTTCAAGGATGGTCACGAAGCTGCAGGTTACTGGGTGCGCTGGGGCTCCTGGAAACACACTCCTGGAGCCTTTCAACTTAGTTGAGACCAGTGGATGACAAGCTGTGATGAAATCCAGATGTCGTCATCTGATTGCCCAAAACTCTTGGGTTTGCCGAGCAGTGTCCCAAAAAGTTGAGACATCACACCACCTATTTCCACTTCTTTCCCTGCGTCCATCTTTTGAGATACTATAGTAACTATAGTCATCAGGTCCTACATTGCAAGGGCCTTGGGCCATCTTGGGCCACTCGAGCTGAGTTAGATCCACCTCTTTCTCCCCTTTTTCAGCTTCAATGCCCAAGTGACTTTGTGCCATCGTCTCGGGCAGCACCCAGCCCGACACCGCACCAAACGCCGCACCCAGCAGTTGCGCAGCCGCAGCGCGGCTGCGCGAGGAAGACGACGCAGCGTCCAAGCGACGGGCGACGAGCTCCAGGAGGTTGATGGGGAGATGAGTGCAAATCTGCAGAAGTTCCAGGAGGGGTTCCTCACTGGAATGGGCCAGTGGCGGCTGGTGACCGTACCTGCCAACTAAAGCCTTATTATATATATATATAATTAATAATATATACATAGAAAGGACTTATATGACCACAGCAGCTAGAGGCCATCCTCACTCCCGCACTGGCTAGCACATCCTCAAGGCAGCCATCTTCACTTCCAATCCGGAGTCGCCATCCTCTCCCTAATTATATATCCCATCCCCTCTCCAATGAACGACATTCACAATGCAGTAACTAACCCTAAAGGGGTGTCCAACATTGTCCAAAGGAGGTTCACCAGTCATGTAGACACACGGGTGGTGATCCTTGGGAAGGTGCCAGCATCTTGGATAAGCATAGAAGCATCATGAAGCATCCAACACTTACTACAGCGAACACCACGTGCCACGTGCCTCGATGAACATCGAAATCCACCACCCGCTGAGTTCAGCCCTTTGCACCCCATTGCCCGCAGCTGTGAGTAGGGTGCGTGCTTCGGATGGATCGTAAGTTGGGGCCTTGGGGCATGTTTGGGGGGACTCTCGTCCAAGATACACTTTTTATGGCTCTGAACCTCTCAACGCAAACAACTGTTGAAAGTTGAAACATCTCGTTCTACAGGTTGAGACGTCGAGATGCCTCTTCAGATGGTCCCTTCGGATTCTTCGGGACACCAGTCACTTGATCGAGGCTCGATGATGTCCTCAGCATCCTTCTTCTCCAGCCAAGTGCGGGCAGCCTCCAGTGCCGGTTCATCGTCCTCCAAGTTCAGCCTGGTGCATTGAAAGAAGGGAGGAATAGGGAGACCCCCCAACCACTCCCCCCAAACAATCCCAACCAATCTCTAAACAGGCTGTACTCTTTGATTGGATTTCTTCCTCCAACTGTTCCCCTTCCTGCTTGTCACCACCTCTGAGCCACTCTTCTCCTAAAGTGGTCAGTTGATGGAGGTTTACGAAACCCCGAACCACCCGTCACCCGCCATCGATCTTGAAGGGAACCAAGCCTCACAGTTTGGTACGGCCACCAGGCAACAAACAAAAACCACCAAACGAATCGCAGAGTCACCACTCCATTGCTTTGTTTGTAGCGTAATTAGTCTGTCATAGTCTGTCCATGTCTGTCCCTGGTAGTTTAAGGTCTCCTATATAGATGGAGCAAGGCTGCTCTGGCTCCTGGTGGAAGATTCCCCACTGCCTTCTTACCATCGTCTTCTCGCTTCTCTTCTTGCCTGGTCAAAAACATGTCCTCCCCCGGCCATGTGAGGTTGCAAACCCAGGATTG